CATTAATATATTAATGAAAATTCACATTTTTATTTAAAATGCAATTGCTCCCTCCCTTCTCCAGTGATGTCACCACATTAAAAAAATGTGCTGAATGCCTTCACTCATTTAGCAGGAACAGCTGGATAGCCAAGGTTACTAAATGGAAAAGATTGATCACATTTCCACTTATAGGAGATAGCATTTCTTTTGATTTTACTGATACTTGTTCACAGATGAAATATGCTAAAAACACTTCCCACATCAATAACTACTCAAGAACTTACTTAGTTTTTTGAATCCAGATGCAATAGTCTGTAATGAAGAGATCATTAAGGATGTAGGCAGGGTCATTCTGCATAAAAATCTTGTGAATGTCCAGCAGACACTTCAAAACTGCAGCTCTTCCTGGAAATAGATTTTTATTTTTGTAATTCACTGGAAATCATAATAGATAATCTTTACCATCTTCCCACCTTTGAGGCTTTAATAACCATGCTAACTACAACCATCTTGTAACTTTGAACTGCTCTGCAGTCTCAGAGTGGCAGTAATAGGACTATGCCCTTTAGTATCCACATCTTTGTGGATAAGAAGCCTCTAAATTCAGTCAGAATCTCTCTGCAAGACCAAAGCCTCACGACATAGTCATGCGTGTAATTCTCTGCAGCTGAAGAATCCCCCTCCCCCAGTTTCTCCCCTTCTCTGAGCTGTGTCAACCCAAACTTTAGCACAGTCATACAGTGCACCATATTAAAAAAAGGCAAGTTGAAAACTAACTTGCAAATAACTAAGTTATACACCATCATTTATCCGAGAAAACTCATTTCCCTGTATGCCTCCACAAATCTTTGTGTTAGAAAAGAATAAGTTTGGGAACATGCAGCCCACAGCAATTGTGTAAGTGATACCATCACCTAACACCTAACCCTTGCCTTAAATTAAGCAGAACTTTTCCCATTTCTGCCAGTTACAGCATAATTTGGCAAATTGAGCCCCCAAAAGGAAAAACTCTCTTCAGGCTTAAGAAGGTGCCACTTGACATGCAGTTGATAAATGCAGCAAAAGATTAAAAATTTGATTGCTTTCTCATTCCACAACCAGAAATCTTTCTGTAGTCAGTTTAATTTTCTTCATATGCTGCCACTGTTTATGAAGAGGATTAATGTAACCTCCAATTAGCTGGAATCTCCTCCCTTAGTTTTCTGATGAAAGTTGCTAAAGGGTTAAGTGCTGGAACATTTAAAAAAAAAATTATTTTCACTGCTTAATGGGAGAGGAAAAAAAAAAAACACAACAAAACACATTCAAATGAAAACAGCCACTACTGCAAATGGAATCTAATAACCCTCTCCCAAGAGGCTGGCTCCTCCTAGGCTATGAAACCTGAACATGGATGAAATTACATTTTACAGATTTAAAAAAAAAAAAAAGAAAAGAAAAAAGATCAGAACTCCCCCTGCTGTTCAAGCACAAAATTTGTTTGTTTGTTTTTTAAGTAATCCCATGCTGGAAAAAAATATATAGAGAGAATTAAAGTTAAAGGATATGGAAGATGGCAATAAGGAGAAAAATACCTGAAGAGTAAAAAGCCACGTCAAACAAAACTTTAAAAAACCTACAGGTTTGGAAGAGAACAATTGAGGAAGTCAGGAAAGAAAACACAAAATCCCAAATATAACTGATGAGCTTTTAGATTGTATGGCCATCAATGCTTGTCAAACTTCACTATTTTGACTAAGAAGAAGTGTGCTCTTTTAAAAAGAAATGATGTGTGGAATTAAAATTTTGATAATTTTTTAAGGTTCTAGCTGTCAAGCTGCCAGCCCAAACCATTTACAACATCCACCACTGTTACTCATCTGCCAAGTTACAATGTAAATTAGTGACTAACACTAATTCTCAATAAAAAGTCATCTTTCTTCACAAATTACAGTTTTAGATTATAGTAGCTTAATGGGCTTCTAATCAGGGAGGCTGCAAATCTAGCCAGACTTAATGTAGGGAACCCTACACAGAGGCAAAGACACGGAGCACAGCAAACTACCAAACTTCTGCTTTCAGAATATGCATCTTATACTTGCACCTTATAAACAAGAAGTCCTTATACAAAACTGCATTTAACTCTTTACCTCAAGAATAAAAAAACCAAGAGCTGCAGAGCAAACGTTATTTAAGCCTTAATGTAGGATATTCCATAACATACAGATGATTCCTGGCCTATTCCTGTGAAATTCCACACCGTAGGTTCTGTCTTTGGGTATCTGCTTCAGTTTTCAGGAGACATCTGGTCTGAACTTTCAGGCTGTGGTTATATATTCAGTAGTATTATTACTTATACTGGCTTAAGTACTCTTTGTTGCACTCTTTGCCTCCCTTTTCCACAGCTCTTTGTGATGTGCCAGTGCAAGTATTCACGAAACCATACAGCAAACTGGATCAGAGATCGGATGAAGCCAAAAGACAAAGAGGCTAGGGGCTTTTTTGGCAGTTATGTCAGTCCAACTCACTGCTGTCTATCAAAGCAAGCCTAAAATGTGCTAGTTTGAAAAGTCTTACTTCTTTTGTAGCCCTAGGATTATAATTTTTTAAATTTCACTGTATACTGGAGTTAAGAAAGCCATAGAAGAAGATGAAGACACACCAAGGATAACTAATTTCATTTTCTTTGCATAGCTTAATGAAGTAAGCACTTCTAAGTTTAAGGGTGAAGAAGAAAAATCATCTACTTTGAAAAAGAGTGATGAATGTTTAAGAGCAGGCACAAGAAACTTTTCTAATCTCAGGAAAATATGAATTATTTAAGTCAGTTTTTGCAAATCTACTGTGTAAAGTTACAGCTCTGCATTATACTGATCAACAAATACAGTGCTGACTATTCAAAAAACCAACTAGTCATATTTAAAAGTACAAACAAAAAGATTCCAACTTCCGTAATAGAATCAAAAATATTTGATCTAAGCTATTAAAATTTATGATTTAGAATTTAACAAGTATGTGACTTAAGACAGACTCTTAATACCCTCTACTTTTTGGCGTGAAGATCTGTGTTAGAGGGAAAGGAGGGGAACAACCAACTTGAAATTGGGATATGCTGCAAGAAGGGATATCAAATCTAAGTACTAACCCATTCTTTTTCCGAGATAAAGGTGGGTTTCTCTTCCTGCCACTAAAAATCATGACACTGCTGTTGGGGAAAGGGTGAGTTGCAACTTCAGAGGAAAAGCAGCAGAGAGGCTGGGCAGACAAGGCAAAAATCATAAGTGTCAAAGGACGTGTCTGCAGATCACTGGATTCTCCTGGAGTTCACTGCTATGCCAGCTGGCAGACAACAGCCCACAACTTTAAACTCCAGTTTCAGAAATCCAGTCCCCCTCCATAGATTAGTTCAGAAAAGGATACAACTGGGCCGCAGCTCTGTATCTGCCATTTGATACAATAACTGACTGATCTTACATCACCATGAAATTCTACCAGCTTTCATACTGAACATTTGAAGTGGGCACGCATTCTCTTTTCTTGAGGTCTGCACGTGCTTTTTCAGCATCCTGAAGATCCAGGACCAGCTCTGTGGAGGCAGCAGGTTGCCCCATCCTGCACCGTTGCCCAGGCAACCAGCACAGCACATCCAAGCACAGACTGCAACGGAACAGAGCCAGACCTGCTGCATTTCTTCACTTCTTCCACTGCTTCTAAACCATCCTAACCATCCACTCAATACAGCTGGACATCTGTCAAAGTCTATGGCAGTCATTTTTATACAGATTACCAAGGTGAGAAAGAACAAGGCTAGCATACCTCCTGTCCCAGCAGAGAATGAGACAGCAAACACAAACCACCCCTCCAGAGAAGACAGGGACTTTGCTGTTGGAGCAAGACCATCACAGGCGAAATGGGGAGACCATGATGACAAGCACAACTGGGGCCACTTCGTTTTGGAAGCAGGGTTTAAGGAGGTAACAGCAGCCACATGTCCAACGTAGGAGGATGGAGAAGCAAACCTGACACACAGATATTGCAGATGCCACCTCCCTTACAAAACTATTGAAAATCTTCTGTTGGATCATTGGATGTTCACTCTTATTTTCTATCACAACAGTAAAAGAAAAGCAGATAGCTCACCTCTCATGTACTATCACCTTAAGGAAAAAAAATCTAAAGAAGGCTGGCAGTGCTGGATGATTTCAGTTTTGTTATCTGAATTTTATTTTCTGTTATTTAATTTTTTTTTAATTAAAATCAGAATTTTATTTTTTCACACTTATGAACAGCAACATAGGCCAGAGGAGATAAGTGAAGAGGAACAGCACATATCTTTCTGTTAAAACTTTACTACCTTACTGTTACCACGTAAATCGTATTTTCAATCATCAATAGTTTGGCATTAGTAAAGATTAATACTTTACTAAAGATTAATAAGATGTGTTGATTTTTGGTTTTTAATCCTGCAACTCACAGCATTGAAAAAAAACCTGATGGAGTGATGTTTCTCAGTGATTCTTCTGTTAAAAGAAAAAAAATCCAACACAATGCTTTTTCTGAAAGTATTAGTAATTCACAATAAATAGAAAACTTGCAAGTAACTTTAACAACTCAAGATATAAACATGGTTGTGTACAACTGCACAGCTGAAGTTAGAATAACCACAGACTTGAAAAATCTGTAGTATCATCTGAAAGCTGTCTGGGGTAAACAGGGAATATATAAAAAGAACGTTGCTGCTGGAAGAAATTTGCAGTCATTAAGATGATGACAGCTCCACTCCTGAACGTGAAACAAAACAAAGCTACAAATATGTAGTACGTAGGCAGATTTTTATTCTTCAGTTCTAAATAAATTTTTATTATTTTTATTATTTATTTTTCAACAGCACAGTTTTCATGGCATTCACTGCTTCTTGTTTTATGAACAGCTCTACTTGGCTGTTAATTAGAACTGTCTTATTTTCCTAATAGCAAGCAGACAACTAAGATAACATAAGCAAGTCAGAGATTGTGACCTCTGCTCTGAAGAGAAAAATTACATAGGAAGTACTAAAAGAACAATGATGCAAAGCAAGTTTTGATGCTGATACAAATTCAGGATTTCTGTTCTTCCCAGACTACCACTGGACTGACCACAGAGTCATCTCAACCATTTTGCCTTAATCCTACAAAGAACTGTAGCACTGAATATGAACCACAGAAGTACCCCTTGCCCTCCCCTCCAATGTGTGATTCTGTGCAGCGATACTCAACTGGCACACACAATGGAACAGCTCAGGATTTCAGATGGCTAGATGTCAAAGAGTTATTTCGAATAGGAAAAAAAATAATTAAAGGACTGGCTCAGTTTAAAAAAAAAAACAAACAAAAAATTTTAAAAACTCAACAGAAGATCTAATTCTAGACAAAGAAATTGGCAAGGAGAGCAGGAATTAAACATTAGGGTAAGCTTGCTTTCTGTCAAAATCAGACATCACTGACAAGGGCTGAATTAAAACAATAGTTCTTCCAAACAGTAAATCAGGCAGGGAAGCTGCCCAGATTTGCAACTGCAAAACCACGATGAGCAGAACTTAGTCAAACAGAACAGTTGGAACAAGAGAAAAGATGCTTTAAAAACTTCTCTTAGGTGGAGATAAGTCATGGAAGTTATCAGAAATCCAGCCAATCTTTTTTAACAGGGTTTCAGTCGTGTCATTAAAGAACACAAACCAGAAAATAACAGGGCTCCTGCTGCACTTGTAACAGCAAGTGACACTGCTTTGAAATAAAAAACTTCAGAATAGGCTCTAAACCAATTATGGTATCTCACCTACCATAACAAAAGCTTCATTAATATGGTCTTTTCCAACAGAAAAATCTCCTGACAAACAGACAAATACAGTACACAGAAAAATACTTTAAAAATCAACAGCATGTGAACAATTACAACGGACTATAATTTTCTCTGAAGACCTTTTCCCTAC